GACACAAAGTGAAACACCGTTTTGCAGGTATTGGCATATACTGGCTTTTTGGTTCCATATATGTTTGATCTGTAGGTGTGATGAAGGCTGACTTTTAAGGAGAGATTCACCCACTGGGCTGACTTTAGAAGATCCACTTGCTGGTGAACTCCCCTTCATCAGAGCAAATGCTCAGATTCTCCAAGTTCCCAGCAACTGCTTTCCACTTGATTGACTGTGGTCTGAGTATGCAGCAGCACGCACATGCGTAACTACTTATACTGGAAAAGTAGGATTGAAGTTGGCTTACTAAGGGGAAAAGAAAACTACAGATACTCCATTATACTTGTGGTTTGGTTTAAATGTATGTTTTCAAGGGTAGGTAGTTCCTGAATCTATGAAAAGTGGTTACTTCAGCGTTTTTGCACGAAGTGTTAACATCTGCGTCTTTGTTAGTCAGCTGTAGCCTGAAAGATTCCCCCCCCCCACAAACGGGTTAGAATTCACAAATATGCTACAAATAGGATTTAGAAGTTTTGTCCTTTTTGGTGTTCTAAGTATTTGTCCAGGAAGCAATATGAAGGTATAGGACATACTAATTTTATATTTTATATTCTTTCGTATAAATATGGCTAGATACTAGATTTTTTTCTTCTACTTCTAGATACCAGGTCGTAGAGAGACGAGACAGTGAAAAACAAATCAGAAGCTGGTAGGTCTTGTAGGGAAGAACATTATTTGAAGGGATCAGTGATCCTCAATTTTCAGAGATTAATAACTTAAGTACTGTAGTATTCCTCCTGCTATTAAGTTTCTTAGTACTCAAATAAAGAACAAATTGCATACTCTGAGAAATATTTAGTTTATTTGATAAATTATTTCATAGTATTTATATTATCATAATGATATCATCATAATGATATACCATGAAAATATAATTAACAGATTTTGTTCAACCTAGATGAACTTTTTATTTTTTGTGACCCTAGCTTTGTTTGCTTTCTTTAGGGATAAAGGTGATCATATCTTCTTAATGTTATATTCAGGGCAAAAATGCATATTTATACATATATGTGTATGTGTGCGCACACACGCTTTGTAAAGAAGTTTAAAAACAAAACACCCAATATGCTGTTGAGTAGAGAGATATAATCTTTTATTAGCAGAGTTGGGGGCAGTTGGGCAAGGGCCATGTGACAGCCTACAGAAAGACTGTCATCTCACACTCACCTCAGACGATATTACATGTATAATAAAGTTGACATATATTCCTGTTCCATTTTTCTCACTCTTTTAGGTTTAGGCTTTAAAAGTTCAGCTATATAGAGATGATTTTCTTTCTAAATATGATGACAAAATTGGCAAAGTTACTTTTCATTTTTTAAATGATGATTTGATTATTTTAAGATGATTCAGTTCTTCATTTAAATATTCACTGAGACTTCTTATTTTCTATGGGATGCTAAAATAACCTGTCACTAAATCATGGCACAGCATGATTTCTGATGAGGTGAACATCAGCTTGATGTCTGGTATGTGATTTGTGCCTTCTGATATCAGGCTGTGGACCAGATGTTTTTATGCAGACTTGAGTATATTTTGGGAGAGCACTTAGATTCCATTTCCTGGGCCATAGAGGTCTATTACACCAAATGAGATTAGAAGTTAAATTCTAATAAAATTAAAAGTTACTTTTAAATTAGAATGTTACTCAAGCTCTAGTTTTTGTCAAACTTATGATGAAGGGACTTTTGAAGAAGGCTTAAAAAAAGTAACATCTTCATATGGGCTTACAGGTCAAGATGACAAAAAATTGCTAATAAACTTTCTATTAAAAAATAGAAAGATTTCCTCCAAATTTTTAATTAGTCAGACTTTGCAAATTATGGTAAATAATAAAAGTTGATGTTACTATTTTTTCTTCTCAAATCTTTAGCTTAAGGATGAAGAAATTTAAAATTAAAATTTATTTTTGAAAAATTTACTTCATCCCAAGGAATAAATAAAAAGTTAATATATCCCTTCATTACTGCTGACTGAGACAATTATCCCTCGAGGACAAAAGGGCCTGTATTAACGTAACTTTCTTATTATGGTAGTGGGAGGAAAAATGGTGAGTTATAGGGAATATGAAATTGCTTTTAGGCGCCAGAGAAAGGGGAAGCAAAGCGTGGTTAGTGTGCCGGTTGTGTTTGTGATAACCTGATCCAGGATGTTAAATGGGACTTTTCAGGCACTGTCAGGACAGTGATTAAAAATCAAAAGCAGAAAACACTGTTGGGGACATGAGACAGAGTTGTTTCAAGTTAAATCTGTTCTTGAAGACCTGATAAAAATGACAAGATAACTGATAAAGTCATTTTCTTTGAGTATAACAAAGATTAGTACAGATATCACTAGTGTACACCAAACTTCTGAATGTTGGTTGTGAAAGAGCAAGCGCTTCCACTATGCATTGGATTTTATATTCCCTTTAAATGAAAGCAAAAAAATAGAAGCTGAAAAAACATCTAGAGAACTAGGAAAGAAAGAACTGTGGGTGAACCTATATGTGACAGCTACGTTTTTTACTTTGTAATAAATGTGGGTATCTAAATGCTGGAGGATTTCTAACTGTGCCACCAAAATTATTATAGCCAATGCAGAACTTTCAACACTTGCTTCTGCTGCTTGCTTCAGCTGCTGCAATGTAGTAATAAACCTCTTGCGTTAAGTAGTTTTATGGCATGTCATATAAATACGGTGATTTGCCGTACCAGCGTTTTCTTTTAGCACTTTGCGAAACAGGCTATTTACGGCAAGTTAAGTATGGCCCTTTAGGATGTGCCTACGTGCATCACCAACCCCTAATGCTTCTCTTGGGTAGCTGTGCGGAAGAAAGCTGGCTTGACTTACTGAATGATGTGGAGGGAAGGAGTGTGCAGGAAGATGTTTACATGGGAGCCTTTTTAGAAAGGAAGCTTTGGGTTGGGTGGAGAGTTGTCCTTAAAGAAAATAAATAAATAAAAAGACAGGCTTTGGAAGCCCTGGAAGAATTGAAGGAGTGTGAAAGAGAAGCATGGATGAAAGTAAGGGAGAGTAAAGGGAAAGCCCTTTGGGGCACGCTTCAGCTGGCCAGGAACATAGCAGTTTGCTAAACAGGTTACACAGATCAAATATAAACCAATTATCTGCTTATGCTGTCTTTATTCAAATCCTACTCTGTTGAACATGCTTTAAATTTTGCTTAATGAAAGGTTTTTGGTTTGTGAAAGAATGCTAGGATATATAAATGAGTTGACAAGCAATGAATGAGTTGCCTTTGGGTGGGAATGAATGACTTGGAGCAGGTTATGAAGGTTCAGATTTGCTGTTTTGAGTTTTGTTTTGGTTTTGTTGTTGTTTGTTTTTACCTTTAATTGACGATCCTATGTTCTATTGAATGGCAGGTTATTTCCTATACATTTTTAATTCTGAATAGAATAATCTCATTGCTACTGTCAAGCATTATCTTTTCACTTTTCTGATCTAAAATAGATTCTTCTAGTGCTAGGATCTGACAAGCAAGAAAAGTATTATACATAAACAAGACAGTACATAATTTGTGACATCCAGTCTGGCAGGGAGAATCAGGAACTCTCTCGATGTCCTCTGACAGAAAGTAAGATTTAGCTGGTGGAGACGGTTTCAGGGCAAAGTTGATGTGTAGGGGCAATAAGGCAAACCAGAGACCTGCCCTATGTTCTGCCCTTCTTGAGCTACGAGTTGTGCAAACAGGATATAAGTAATGTGTGAGGGGAAGTCTCTGTGAAGGAAAACCTTTAGAGTTTGCAAAACAGTAATTACATCATCATGGAGCTGCCAGGCACAGTAATAGAAGAGAAGACAGTATATTCAAGTGGTGAAGACAATCTTGTAGCTGGTGACTTCTCCTTCAGAAACCACAGGGCATTGTACCTTTTCATTATTATTTTAAAAGTTCTGTAACAATACTCCTGTAGTTGGAGTTTTAGCCTTTTCTGGCACCTAGATGCTTTATTATATCAAAGCTGTGCCTTTTTGATTGTGAAAACAAACATAATTTAAGTTCTTTTAACAAGCATGAAGAATAGAAACATAATTGCTTTAAATAAAAAAAAAAAAGGTTTAAATGCCTTAACCATAAAAAGATCATAGGACAATATCAGCTTTAAAAGGGGGAAGGATTAAAAGAAAAAAAAGGTACAACAACTCCTTTTAAAATTCTGCTTACTGCATTCATGGCGCTGCTGGGATCCAAAGACTAATCCAAGAAAAACTTGCCATGAGTGGTGTGGGGTTTTTTTCTTCCTTCTTCCTTTTTTTCCTATCCTTACATTGAACTAATCTGTCTTTACTACACTGTCAGGTAAATTAAAAGCATTCAGGTTGTTCCATTTTATCATGGGAATTTTTCATAAGCTCCCCAGTCTCTTGTGCTAATCTGTCTTCTCAGTTGGTGATTCTGTCTTCATTATGTTGTTTGTTTATATTGTTCATACAAGCCAAATGAAGGAAAAATTAAGTCAAATGTGTTTTCAAGAATACAACATATTTTTAAAGTCTATAGTTGGTCTTTCATATCTTTGTTTCCCCTTGTTCAGGTTGGTTAGATATTAAAAAAATGTTAGTTTTATGCATGGAATTTTTGAGTAATAGGGGCATTAGAAGTTTGGAGATTTGTCTTTAATAGTGAACCCGATTTTATTAATAATTAACTCTATAATAATTAAGCCTACTATAGCTTTCTGAGAAGATGTAAATTCCCATTTGTGGAATTTGTACACAGTTTTCACTCTTTTTTTTCAACATCTTCATAGATGCAAAGAATACTTTAAGAAAGTAGGAGGGCAAAATGTGCTTCAGACCAGTTTGTTTAGCTAGTTTGATTTTAAAACGGAGTAGTTCTGTGTTTCTGTCATAAATAGAAAAGCTCATTTGTTTCCAAATGTATTTGATAAATATAGCTGTACCTGTAAAGGTTTTCTTGACTAGAAACTGAAATATTTTCATTCTCTAAACAGATGTCTCAATGCGTGTACCTACTGCAAAACCAAGCATGCCAGGGGAGAGCTAGCAAGTTATCCAATTGAAGAACTAGTGGACAGAGCCAAACAGTCTTTTCAAGGTGAGCGTTTTTATCACTACAATAAAAAACAACCCCTGAAGTGTACCATGTCTTATTTTCACATGTAATCATCTTGATGCAGTATGACTCTATTGCAGTTTTGGTGGTGTTAACGTATTGTGACTGTGTCTGGTGGTGCCTCCACGGTAGAAAACCATACTCTGAATAGGTGGTGTGCCGCTATTTACAAGTACTAGTCTATCACAAGAAGTATTTCATTTTGATTTTAATCATGCTCAAATGAAGTTCCAAAGAAACGTTTGTCATAACAATGAGAATACTGTAATATTTGGTCATTTTCCTCTATTCCGACTTTCTTAAAAAGGAAGGCAGTAACTTTTCTCACTCAAATGAGATTCACAGTTTCCTTTGTAACAGGTAGTGTGTGGTTAGTCTGCTTTAACTTCAATAGAATATTAGTAATAGTATTGCATGGATTCAAGCGAACATCAAAAGCTTTTCATGCACTACAGTACTCTGTACCTGTATCTGTCTAAAATTCCTGTGCGTGTGTGGGAGTTATGACAGCTTTATTTAACCTTAGTATCTATTCCTTGCATCTAATTTTTACCTTTCTTTGAAAGATACAAATTTTCATATATTGCCTGTGCTTGTTTCTGATGCTGTCTCCATAAAGGAACAGGCATAGATTGATGTATTTGTCTACCATGCTGAAAGATTATATGTATATTGGAAAAAAAAAAAGATAATTCAGGTACAGCATCTCCTTCCATCTTTGAACCAAATACTTTGAATTAAAATTTTAACAATAAATACAGTATGTGATGTCACACCCTCTGTGGTGTGTACAGACAGTGCATGCATTGCCTCACTTACGGATCTGAGAATGTTGCAATTGATCTAGCAAAAGGTAGGTCTCCAGCACTTCAGCATGTTTTAAAATCCGTCCTTATTTAGGGACCCAAAAACAAGCCTATTCAAGCCCATGATGAACTTCAAGCTGTTCCTTTCAGCAGTATGCAAAAAAGAATTCTTTTCCCAATCAAAGCCTGCATTCACAAATTTTATTCTACGTTATTCACAAAGAAACTTCTCACTTAAGTCTGTAAATACTTTTTTTTATGTTTGTTAGAACCTTGATGTTTTGTAAGCCGTACTCCTCTCTTCTGTGAAACTTATCAATAATCAACACAGATTTTCTCCTACTGCTTAGATTTGTAGAATTAACACAGTTGTTCCTGTGAATTAAATCATCTGTTACGATAGGCAGAAATCCTGTCATGTCCCAGAATTCCTCTTTTTAATAGGACAGGCTTTTAACACCTGTATGTCTATAATGATATATTCAGTAACTGAAATATGAGATGTATAAATACACTTACTTTTGGTGGGAAGCAGTTGCAGAAAAATCTTTCTGGAAGTTACAAGTTTTCAGTAGTATAAGATAGTTGATTTTGAAAATAAGTAGTAATCAATATGCAGAAGAAAAGCCACCATGTGATTATGGTTATCAGGCAGCAATCATTCCTGATAATTGGGAGATACATAGGTAAAAGAGGAACACTACATTGTTGTCCTTTCAACCAGTTCTAACTCTGACGTACTTTTATATTATTGGTAACAAAAAATGGTATCATTCTGATTGTATTCACATATACTAGTAGAAACATTATAAACCTACTTAGAACAATTCGGCAGAGGAATATGACAGAGAAAGGGAGGAGAAAACATAGCTAATGCAGTCAGGTTCATGGCCTTATACAGACTAACTATTTTAAATTTTATTTGAATTTTTTATCTGGAATGAAAAAAAATCAAGTTTATCTTACTTGTTACAGTTGTATTCACGTGCCATAAAGTCCACATTAAATTGACATAAAGATGTATTTGCAAGGTACAGCAAGAAAGAAAACTCTGAATTTCTTTTGTTTTTGCAGACAATAAACGTGAAATTTTGGTAAGCATTTTGAACTTCAAGGATTGTACTTTTTATCTGAAAATTCAATAATTCAATTCATCTGCTGTACTATGGCACTTATTATAAATATTGACTCTCTTAAAATAACTTGATTTCTAATGGAAAAACTTGCCCTTAAGCTATTGTTTTGAAATTTTTTGAAGAAATACTGTGACGCGTCTCACAGCAGGCATCTCCAGGGAGTTCCGTTCTTCTTTAGCCTTACACTAGTACCTCTGTTAGAGGAAATAAGGAAAGAAGCAAATACTGAGCTGTAAAATTACAGGCTTTGCCTCCAGCTTTCACATCCTCCAGCTTTTCACAGTCATGAAATAGTCAGATACTTAGTTTGCAGTGTATGGACAATTTATCACTGTCAGCTTGCTGCAACTGGGCTTCGGAAACTCTTCATCAGTCCAGCGAAAGACTAAGCAATTCGAATTCATTATTAAAGTTGTTGCTGAGTTACTGAACAACAGTCTCTTCAACGATCGCTTCTGTTTTCTCCGAAGATGTGTTGCCGAAGCTGTAGTGAAAAATAGAGGTTTCCACTTTGGAATTATTCATGGGAGAACTAAACTGTCTTAGAACAACAGCAAAACAGTATATGATGATTTCGCATAACTGCATGATCAAGTCATATAAGAAAAGGGAAATTAGTTTCGTTTGCCGAGCTTTGTACATGTGTAGCCTTACAGTGTGCAAATTGACAGGCACTGAAGGTGGGATGTTTCAATTACGGAACACGCTGAAAATGGTTAGAAGAGCTGTATTTAAGGATGCTTTGTTATAGGTCCTTAAACAACACACACACCCACACACACACCCCCACCCACCCACCCCCTCTGAAATACTGTATGCAAGTGATCCTACTTTGACAGGATTGCAACTGGATTCTGAAAACAATGCTTCTAACGGTATGTTGGCAGTACAAGCTACAGCATGTTCAAATACTCCAATTTTTCTTCAGTCGTTTCTGTACTGCTACATCTAGGTGGGCTGTCTCTAGAGAGCAGAGCTTTCCAAGCTTTCAGGCATGTAGCATTACTTGTCTGCAAGCCACTTCAGGTGGTCAGTGGTCCAGCCTAGGCCAGCTAATCATATATCAGCAGAATGCTAATGCTAGTAATGATGTGTGTGACAGCAGCTGCTAGTAGCGGTACCTTACAGTAGTCATTCCTGTTGATGCTTGACTTCAAGATCACGTCTGAATATTTCTGAAACTCTCAAGCTTCTTTTATGGTCAAGATTTAGTTCTGTGGCTTTATTTAGATGCTTGTCTTTGAAAGTTTTATATAGTTTTGCATAGATAAGTAGGTATTTGTTTAAATGTATTTTAGGGTCCAAAACTTTATTTTTGGGGTCTATGTTATAGTTTTGTAAAGATAATATTTAATACTCTACTGAGAGTGATAACTAGATGACAAGAGATAAGAAAGCTGTTAAGAAAACCAAAGCTGTTGCAATTTACATGCATGCTCAAATTATTTTTACCAGTCTAAACTTGATTTAAATCAACTGATTAAAAAAGATAGTTGAAATCATCATGGCTGAACATATATCAGGCTGTATCTTGTACTTTTTCAATCTTTGAAATAAAGCACTTTTTTATTTCTGTATTTTAAATTCAGTATAATCATTAAATGCACACAAGAAATGTGTTACAAGTTTCTAGTATGTGCTACATATTTTCGTAATGCTTTGAACTAAATTTCTATCAATTATTTTATTTTATATATGTTAAGGGTTAGTGAAATTGAGTTTGTTTGCATACTTTGAATGGATTTCTGTCTCCTGACTGCAATAATAGTTTTGAAGTTAATTGACGTCAACTTTAATAACTCAAAAATTTCTTTCACAAATTATCTATCTGAAGTTGAAAGTAGAATATAGAATTTTTAGGGTTTTTTTTTTAACTTTAATGGTAGTTTTTGTGTCAATTTCAACTTTTAGTAGTTATTTCATTTTTTTGTGTGGGCAGCCTTGTCATATCACATTGTATAGCAGATTTCTGTAAGAGAGCTAGTAAAAGAGAAAGTATTCCTAAAATCAGTAAAGTGGTCTTTAAGTAAAGAACGAATATCTTTTTTGTAAGAGTGTTTATGGCGAGAGGTTTGTTACAGTTGATAGTACAGCACTTTCTTTGTGTCATCAATTTAGTGCTGCATTTTTTCAAAATGTGCTATATCGTGTTCAGTGCTGTATTTTAGGAAATCATGCTTACAGTTATGAGAGAATGCCTTCTTTCCTTCCAGAATCTGTGGGCATACATTATGTATGACAATGTGTTTTTACTTAGTACGCAAAGTGGAAGGCTGGAGCGGCTGCCCTGGGTGAACAGCGTTCCAAGGAGACGCACAAGTTAAACGAAGCTTGGGCTTTAAACGCTGTGCTGAGTGGTGTCCTGGGATAGCTTTGGCTAGGTTGCAAGACTTTAAATTGAGTTTGGATTTTTTTTTTTTTTAAATGGAATTTTATTGACCATGAGAAGATGTATAACTGATATTGCTACCTGGTGGTTTGTAAACCTGACCTTTTGTGAGAGGCTTTCTGGGCAAAGATAGTACTTCATATTGCCAACATTTTTTGCTGGTTCAGCAAACTAACTTAAAAATAGAAATGGTTTTATGGAACTAGCTGTCTTTTTGTCCTAGTTTAGAATGAAAATCTCCTACTTGTATCAGCACAAAATTATACGACTTTACCATTGCATGTCTGTCCCAAATGGTAGACAATATACTGTTCTTAAAACATATGTAATTACTACAGTATTAGCTTATTTTATGGTAGCAGCCAGGGAGCTCAAATGAAAGTCAGGTCCTATTTTGAAACATCATATTGATATCCTCAGGCTATGTGGAGCAGTTGCTTTTGGATGAATAACTGCAGTGGTAAAATAGAATTTATTTTTGTTCCATTATTTACATGACGGTTCCCTGGCATGCCTGCTGCTGCATTCTGAATAACGCTTCTGTTCATGAAATCTTAGGCGAACGCATAGCAATATAAAGTAGAAGAGTGATCTAAAGGAAGATGCTGAGTTTTGACTTTCCTTAGTAGTCTTTAGCAGTTATCCTTATCT